TTTGATTTTGAAAATACATATATATATGTTGAAATAATCGGTTAGAAATATAAAACCCATACAAAACATTTATAAATAATTTAATAAAAAATATATATTCTAAACATGTTTTTTAATTTAATAAATTATAGCAATGTATAATAAAAATATAAATTGTTGAATTTATTTTACTTACACATAATAACTTGACATATATGTAATTTAGGAAACTTTTCTTTCTTCTTTGCTCCATACCAGCTGTAATTAACAGCTAATTCATTAGTAAAAATTTTCGCATTAAACGATACATGAACTTCTCAAATCTGTACTAATTACGTAGGCTAAGTGTTTAATCTGAATTTATTACAAAAAATAAAAGTTATAACTTTATATAATAAAATTATATTTATATAAAAATACTGACATATATGGCTTTAAAATATATTCTAAAAAATTATTTGGAAGCTCAATATAAAATTAAATTATTCAAATATCTTTAAATAAATTTATATATTTTTAAAACTTGTTTATTAGTAAAGGGGCCTATTATGTATTTCTAAAAAGTGAAAATGCGAAAAGTGAGCAGCTCTTGTGATCACTGATTGGTAGATCTAAAAGTGTACACCAATTAGTGATCGAGGAAATGTTAACTTTTCGCATTTTCACTCCTTTAGAGATACATAATAGACCCCCAGAGTATTATATATATAGAGTATTTCTTTAAAAAAGTATTAAATATTCTTACAAGGTTTTATATTCAAAATTTTTTTATTCGTCATATTTTTTTGCTAGATCTCTAAATTGTTTTTGTTTTTTCTAAAAGTCGTGTTACCATTAAAATAGATATTTAACTTACCATTTCATTTCGATAAAGTACATCAGTACTTATTTAATTTCCAATACATTTAAACTATTTTCATCTTTCAATGGTAGGTCTTTATATATGTCATTTAATTCTTTCTGCTTAGTTTCAAAATTTTCCGTTGAAAGTTTCCGAAGTATTAATTTTTGATTTTTTTCAATACTGTTCATTTTTAGTTCAAAATGAATTAGTTTTCCAATGACAAATCGTTTAAAATTTTTTTCTTCGTAATTAGCATCACACAAATTTTTATTGCAATAATGCATATCTAAAAATAATGAAATAATTTTATCATGTTATTTCAATATATCGTTAATATAACAAAATGTTAAGCAAAATATTTATGTAAAACTACTAACATATATCACTTTAAAATATATTTTAAACACAATAATATAAAAGCAGCTTAATATAAAATTAAAATTAATCAAATATCTTTTAATAAAACTATATATTTTTAAAATATTGTTTAGTATAGAGGATTATATACAAGGTGTCCTGTAATTGGTAAAAATCTGCTAATGGCAGATTCTTGAGATCATTTTGAGACGATTGTTCCTCAGCGAAAATGTCAAGAAACGTCATCATTTTTTTGCAAACTTGCAATATTTATTATTATATATCTTCGTAACTAAGTCTCAAATTAAAATTTTATCAAAGTAAACTCCACTTAAAATTAACTGAAGAATGTAATTATGTAAGGCCCGATTACACCGACGTTATTTTCATTTTAAGCGAGACTTACATATGTATCTGTCTTTATTTAATTTAAAAGAAGGATAAAGATAGACACTTATTTAAGTTTTACTTAAATCCAAAAGAACGTTGGTGCAACTGGGCCTTAGTCTTTTAACTCCACAAAGTTTAGTTTACGAAAATAATTTTTTTCAATCACATAACTCAAAAATTATTAATTTCTCAACATTTGCACTAAGGAAAAATCATCTCCAAATTAGCCAGAGAATACGCTCACGAGAGATTTTTTACGAGTTACCGGGCACCTTGTATAGTACTTCTTTAAATAAAAATATTAATATTGCAAACTATTTACAAAATTTTGAAGAAATAGTATAAACATTCTAGAATATATAAAAAAATTATATAATTGTTATAAGTAGAATACCTTGCTTATTAATGAATAAATTTGTCTTGCGTCCTATCACGTCTACATTCATATCATTATTATTGTCATCTTCACCATCAACGTACGATTGTTGTTCGGAATTTGCATGGGATACATTTTTATCATACTGCACGACTAAAAATAATAAAATGTTTTTACTATATTATTTTAAAATAACTTCAATATTTAAAATATGTTAGGTACAATTTTGAAGAATGTTATAATTGTAAAATATATAAAAAATTATATAATTATGTAAAATAAATATAATTATACGTACCTTGCTTATTAATATATTTGTTTACTACGTTCGGATTTATATCTTTGCTATCTATGAATGATTTTTTTTTTAATTTGCATCAGACAAATTCTTATCGCAATGCAAAAGATCTAAAAATTATAAAATGATTTTGTCATTATATTTTTCCCAGATAATAACTACTGTAATATTAAAACATGTTAGGCAAAATTGTTTAAGAATAAATGTTATAATCCTAAAATATGTAAAAAAATATGCAATGTTAAATAGTTAGAATTATGCACCTTGCGTATTAAACGAATCACTCTGAGTTCTCATCACGTTATTTATTATCACTATTAATGGAAGCATCAGACTTATCACAATGCGGATCTACAAATAATAGTGTTTTATTATGCTATTTCAATATAATGGAATAAATTTAGAAAAACTTTATTTACCAGAATGTTCTATTTTTTTGGTTATGCATGATTTCTTAATATTAGGGGTTTTTGTTTTGGAATAGTTAAAATCTAAAATCCATAAATTGTCTTATTATTCATGTCCTATCTTGTTTTTTATCTGTTATTTTTATTTTTATTTTCATTTTTCCGTGCTTACCCTTTTGTACATCCGTCACTTTTATTCTTTTGATAGGTTTTTCTTGTGTCGTACAAGTTTTTTGTGAAAACGTAGGAATATCTGATATTGTGTTGTCTGATTCATCTAAATTGTCGTTACTCGTTGAATAGTATACTTTTGCAGCTCTATGTTTTCTCGATTTTTTAAGTTTTTCTTCTATATCAGCGCTAGAGCTATTAATATCAGATATCTCTTCGGCTTCTTTTAATTTTATTCTTGCCACTGCATAGTCGTCTGAAAAAATATGTATTATTGTAATAAATATTTAATAAATAATAATTTAACATATATATATTTTATTAAATAATATTTCCTTGTATTATTAAACGATATCAACATATATGTACATGCTGCATTTTCCACAAAAGAATATAAAATTGCTTACTAAATGTTCCATATATTTTTTTAACAGGATGTTGCCTCCAAGTTTCATGATCCGGATCCTCCATATGTTTAACTGCCTTCTCATACCGCTTGTTGCTGGTGAAGTTTGGCTAAAATGATGTTGATTCTTCGTCAATTCTTAACCAATTATTTGGTACAATTTGAAGACCGTCTTCGAATTCGACGATCGCATAAAATTTATTATTCATTCTGTGTGACAATAAATATCATTGAATATATTTATATTTCATGTAAAAATAAGAAGATTGCATATCTATTATTTTCACATGGCAATTTAACATATTTTTTTATTATGTTTTTCAATGGCCATGACTTTAAATTTGAACACAATTTTACAGAATAAATCTGAAGTAACGAAGATGAACAAGGAGTATCAAATAGATTTTCTTTTTCCAAAAGTTTGTATCCGATAATAACAGGGATATTTCGTCTTGTGCAATGTGCTATGTTTTCAATACATACAATAGCATCACAGTTTAAACCACAACAGCTGTCTGCAAGTGTCCCAACTTTAAATGTAAGTCCGTTGTACTTGAGTATTTTATATTGTGAATTACTGCAGTTAGGTATAAGTGGACCATCTTCATGTAATGAGTGTAATGACATTACATTTGGATGTGTCAGAACAAACGAATCATGTGATGTAGTTAAATTAATTTCTTGTTCTGTACATCTTCGTACAACTTGTTCCAAAGGTTTTTCCGCTTTTCTGAGATATTTTTTATACACTTGCATGTGGTTTTCAAACTTGAATGCACTAAAATTATCGAGTGGTCCAAATTTTTTTACATCGTCTACAAGATGTATAAAACTGTGTATATTATGCGACACGTGTTGCGCTCCATAAAGTTTAATAAAAAACGAATCATGTCTTGTGTATAAGATAAATAATATTCATCATTTACATAATCCTTTGAACACAAGATTCTAATAATTACATGTAGTGTCATATAATGAATGTACACACTTTTTCGTAATACAGATTTAAAGACTAACGGACCCGTATACAGCAGTATTAATCTAAATTCCGTAGCTTTCCATAATTTTACACAGTCCAGTTTTCGCGACTTTCTTGTAAATTCTCTAGGTATCGATGACTTTAGTTGAATTTGACATGTAGATATTTCTTCAACGGCTCTATGTGGTAGTCGATATTGGAGTTCTTTACCCAGCCATAAATATATTAACTTCCGCATTATTCCCAAACACACTAGATGCATATAATCTAACGGAACGTTTGTAACAGGTTTTTAGTAAACCACATGTTATATTTGGCTTATGATAGCTGTCATCGATTTTTTTAGTGAAATCATCATCTGATCTACATGGTGCATCAATCTGTGGGAAGCACATACGATTTCCTATGTATTCACCTTCCGTTGTATACTTAGTACAACTAGAATACCTGGTATGTCCTTTTACGCACAATACAAATGCTTTTGCAGGTGTATCACATATCAAAGCTTCTATTCTGCATTGTAAATTACGTCCATTGACATAATAAATTCCATTTTCGCCCATTTCTATAGCCTCATCCAAAAAATTTTTTAAAAAGTCATTAACATCTGCTGGTTTTTCCGTTCCATGATAAATTCCGATTGTGAATACATTATTATATGGAAGAATTGAACCAAGTATGGGCCAAAATTGTTGTTGCAATGATCGTGAAAGTGGTAATCCATCGATATTAATAGCAATTTTTACACTGTCAATATTACTCTTTATAGAAGTTAATAGGAGTCGCACGCCTAGCGTCCTTGCGAAGGTTTCGTATTTCATTGTACGAAGAAAGTTCCGCGTCGTCGCGGTTCCGGTTCTCACAATGGAAAAAGAGCGAAGCACGTCTCCTCGCAGGACGATATACGGACAGGTCGATCGGCCGTCAGCTGCTGCTCTGCTGCTTATTTTATGATCTCGTAACTGATCGTACGTACACTACGTACTACGCGAACGTGAGCGAGAAGAAACAATAGCGGCGTCCGTCGACGCATCTGCCGAGGGGGAGTAAGAGAATGAGTCAAGCGAATCAGGATCAGGACAAAAGCATGGACAAGAAAGAGATCGCCGATAAGGAGAGGGAGAAGATGCTGAACGCCGAGAATACGAAGCACACCGGGGCTGCACCTGCATCCGACCTCGAGTCCGAGGAGCAGAAACCGAAGAAGAAGATTCCGATCGGCGGCATCAAGATGCCCGGATTCTGCCGTACCAAGAGCAAAGAACCGTGCAAGGACGAGGAGACGAAATCAGCAGAGTCCACAGATGCGGAATCAGCCCCTGTGGTGACAAAGGAAAGCGAGCAGAATACTGTGGAAGAACCTACAACACCTGGCAAAGATTCTAAAGAAAAAGAAGTACGGAAGGGAATTTTGAATGCCATTCGGATACCTTTAGTATCGTCCGTTTTCCCGAGAAAGAAGAAGGAAACTGACGCTGAGTTAGGACCGACTGGCACCGCAGGATTAGCGAGCGTCGAGACACTCGATGACGGTACTACAGATAAAAACCCTATTGCCAACGAATACGGTATGGAAACCGTCCGTCTCGATGGAGATGACGGTGCTGACGGTATCAAAACGCCGAAGCATCCTCTAATCTTCTGGATATCGTTGCTTAGAAGACACATGATTCTCTCAGCGCTGGTTCTCCTGATTTTGCTCAACGTCATAATCATTATTTGCATCGCCTGCGCCGGACCCAGAAGAATCCTTACTCAGCCGTTGAAGGACGGCAAATACATCGAAGCGGTGACGTCATGCGGATTGGTACAGGGCGTTCTGGAGGATGGTGCCTACGCATTCCGTGGAATCCCTTACGCGGTATTAAATTTATTAATTTAAATTTATTAATTTATTAATTTAATACAGATTTTTGCAATCCAAAATGATAGTACGTTCCTGGCAGTACTACACGCGTTTCGTTTTTTCTTGGAGTTTGTAAAAGTGAACGTGGATCCAAAGATAAAGATGAAAACGAATGATTTTTCAGTCTATGAAGCAGTGTTCTTAGAGCTGTATGTGAAATTTGGTGTTGTACAGCAGGGCTGCCAGAATGTGCTCAGTAAAATCCGCTACTAGAGCGCGTTGAGATAGCCCAAAATCCGCGCGAAAAATTAAAGCCCAAAAACCTCGCGCTCTCTAATAATATAGTCCAAAATGTCGCGTTTTTCCGCATCTCACTTGTTGGTATAGAATTATATCACAAAAAGTGTGCATGATGAGGGAATGAAGTTAAAAACTTAATCTTTATCTTAATATAATAGGTAAAGGTACCGATTATGGTATATTAGGATAGTTTTTCGTTTGATTTAATGTATAAGTGCCTACCTTCATATTTTTGACATTTTGATATAAGAGTTTAAGAAATAAATCTAATAAATAATATAATTAAAGCTATATTTTTAAATTGTATTGTTGATTCTGAAGATATAATACTGTAAAAGGTTTCAAATTAAGACAAGTAATAATAAAACCATTTACTTTTATCTACATGTCTTTTATTTTTGGTGTTAATAAAAATAAAATTAAGTTTATCTAATAAAAGGCGGTATCTCATATTAAGATCAGCTAGTATCTCATATTAAAAGACCTTTTGGGTTTGATACAAAAACTGACTTACTTTAATCAAACCTATGTATATTAAAACTCGAACGAGATATAACTTATTGAGGTAGGATTTCTAAAACTACATGAAAGACAATTAAAAACAGTATATAGATACTTTTATAATAAATTTTATTTATTTAATATCATTAATTATGATTATGTGGGTAGATCAGGAAATAATACGCATTCTGCTGCATTTCTAATATCAAAATTAGTTAATGTCTGATAATCTTCATCTTCGAGATCGTTTTCAGTGGATAGTGTAGAATCACTTACAATTTCAGCATTGCTGTGATATGAAGTATACATGGAGAAGTTGAACCGAGATAACATATCTTCACTAGGAGTAAAAATTTGGCAACACATTTTAGTAACCTGCGAATAAGATATAAAATTACCTTGCGCACAATAAAGACAATATTAGACATAAAAATAAATATTTAAATATTAGGCTGGCTTCATAATAGACTGTCGGAAATCTGAAAAGTTAACTAATTACAATTTAATTTAGAAAAGAATAATCGAATTTCACCTTCAGATAGACGCGCAAACGCAAAAGCGCATCCAACATCTGCAACTGCATCCCATTGCGCTGCTTAGTCTTAATTGCTGCCATAAAATTGAAGATTCGCTCAACAACCGCGTTGCTTATAGGCAGTGTCAAACATTTCAGGGCAAAAAGGGCAAGATCTTTGAAAGGATAGATTCCTCCCGCGTTTTTCAATAATAGCACGCAACTCCAGAAGTGCACTATGTCTATCTCTCGTAATTCACTATTATGATCAGGATGAGGACATATATCAGACAATGTCAAAGAGTTGAGAGAACGCCATTGACTTTCCAAAAATCTAGGTCTGCGCCAGAATTTGTATCAAAGATTTAATAAATAATAATCCTTAAGAGTCGCCAGTAATAAATAATGAAAATCTCTCCTCCAATTTTAAAGTCGACCAGACTGGCAATAATTTATTTAAAAAATTATTAGTTAAATTACAACGTTTCGGCTGTCATTGCAGCCCTTTTCAAGTAATCTATGAACAATTATATACATATAAATATACTCTTAATGCGCTTAATCATACAAATAATTATAAATTTACAAAAATATATATGTTTACATACCAGATTAATACAATAAATCAAATTTACAGCAAACCCCCGACAAAATTAACCATTGTTTTGATGAACAATGTATAACTGACAGAAGTGAGCACGAAGAAAAATAGATGTTGACTGTTAGCAGGAAACTTAGTCACTAACGCGTTGAGAAAATAGAAAACCAGAGTACTGTGTCTTTCGCAATTTTTAAAACGTCAATACAAAGTCAAATAAATAAATAAATAAATAAATAAATATGTAACATATGACAATATAATATATTAAATAGCTTCAAGAACGCGATCATAAATCCCACTGAAATTCTCCGTATCTTTTTGTAAATTAATGCTCTTTCTTTGGTTTTTTATATAGAACATTTCTGCTATTTCTCTTTTTCTTGTTTGTTTTTCTTGATGCAGAATCACAGGAGAATCCCAGCGGAACTCATGATCGTTGCAAGTCCGATGCAAACTAACAACTGAGTGTGATGTCGTGTCTTTTTTGATGTTATTTTTATGTTCCTTAATACGTGTTTCTAAATGTCGCTTTGTTTGTCCAATATATGTAGAGTCACAATTCGCACATTCGATCTTATAAACGACATCGGTTCTTTTTAAGTTGTCAATACTATCTTTTCCTCTTTTTATCAATGTGTCTAATTTTTTAGGAACGGTATATAATACACCGATTCCATTTTTGTTTATGCAACGAGTAATATTTTCGCTCAAATCTCTAATATACGGCAACACTATAGCATTTCGTGTATCAAATTTATCTCGATTAGACGCACCAAAATTACCGCCAAATTTAATCGCCCTAAGTCTCCTGTTAATAATTTTGTTTATGACTGTTGACGGGTAACTGTTGTTACGAAGAATTCGTTTATTATATTATATTATTATATTATATTGTCATATGTTACATATTTATTTATTTATTTATTTATTTATTTGACTTTGTATTGACGTTTTAAAAATTGCGAAAGACACAGTACTCTGGTTTTCTATTTTCTCAACGCGTTAGTGACTAAGTTTCCTGCTAACAGTCAACATCTATTTTTCTTCGTGCTCACTTCTGTCAGTTATACATTGTTCATCAAAACAATGGTTAATTTTGTCGGGGGTTTGCTGTAAATTTGATTTATTGTATTAATCTGGTATGTAAACATATATATTTTTGTAAATTTATAATTATTTGTATGATTAAGCGCATTAAGAGTATATTTATATGTATATAATTGTTCATAGATTACTTGAAAAGGGCTGCAATGACAGCCGAAACGTTGTAATTTAACTAATAATTTTTTAAATAAATTATTGCCAGTCTGGTCGACTTTAAAATTGGAGGAGAGATTTTCAAAGATTTAACATTAAACATTTACATAAAACCAGGAATAAGAAGAATTGTTTATAACATTCTAGATTGATTATTTACCGAGTAAATAGAGCGGAAGCTGCTCAAATAAAGGTCTGGCAACTCTTTCAAGAACAATGCGTGGCGTCAAAGTTTTTATTTTCTCAATTACTTCTATGTTGGAAGGGAGTTTATTTGATAGCTGGTTGCATAAACACAAAATGTAATCGGCACATCTCTCACGAACAATTTTTAATTTCTCAGGGGAAATATGCAAACTAAGTAGCACTTTCTGAAATGCATCTCCAAAATTTACTCGTTCTAGAGGTCGAAGATTATGCGCGTATAATAGAGTCTTTTGCAGCATCTGAATTTCAACCGAACGTAACACTTCAGGCCTACTAGTTTCGGCAATTGTTTCAGATTTCAAAACTCGAGCACAGAGGGAGAAGAAAAGAACACGAAAATCTGAGTACACTTTCGTAACGTCAGCATTTGTTTGCTCAAATGCGAGGTTAACCCAATGCACTTCGCGTAGAATTGATTTCAAAAAGCTCACATACAATAGGTTGCTTGGATCTTCAAGAATCTCCGCAAAAGTTAAAGCCTTATAATCGTTTTCAGAAGCTTTCATCCTAAAGAACTTTTGCAATTCTGTTCACTGATCGAGAATTCCAGATGCAACTGGGAGCCACGACATCCAGCGAGTGTCGCAGAGTTTTTGCAGTTTTCCAGGAGCTTTCCCTTCGTTCATAGTCTTGTAGATAGATAGATAGATATGTTTATTGTTTCTCCAACTAGAGATTACAAGGCGCTTTTTTCTTGTTTAAAGGAGCGGTCCCAAACCTTTATACATCCATTTAAATTCCACCTTAACCTATATCTTAATCCTATAACTTAAATCTAATTAACTTAATCTATACAATCATATATACATTCATATATATCGTCATAACAAAAAAAGAAAAAGAAAAAATCGCTACGCCGCTCGCTTCGCCGTCTACCGTGCCTTTCCACCCTACCTACTTCCTGCCTGCTCTTACACACACCCGACTCTTTTATCCTAGTCTTTCTTATTCTACGTTTTCTTATATCCTATTTTCGCCATCTTATATACTCCTTAACCTAAGTGGGACCTCCGCTTCCGGTTGCTGTTACCCTTCACTTCTTTCCCTCTTCCCTCTCTCTCCCTCTCTCTCTCTCTCTCTCCATCTCTCTCTCTCTCTCCCTCTCTCCCTCTCCCTTTCTCTCCTTCTCTCACACACACCCTCTCCCTCTCTCTCTTCCCTCATCTCTTACCCTCTCTCATCCCCTCTCCTCCTTTTCCATCCTTCCCATCCTCCCCTTTCCCTCCCCTCTTGCTTTCTCTAACATTTTTAGCCACGTTTCCCCTTCTCCCTCCTCTCCTAACACCTCCTTCACCATTTCCTGCCAACTCTCTTCCCTTCCCCATTCCATGCAATCCTCCCACACATGCTCCCATGTTTCCAACCCTCTCCCACACATTCTGCACTTCCTCTCCTCCTCTTTTTCCCAGTATCTATTTCCCCTCATCCCATTCCCCAATCTATACCTTGCTATTCTCCTCCACCTGTCTTCCGTCCACCCTTTCTTTAGATAGCCCGGTATTCCCTCCCCTTTGACCTGCTTGTACCATTTATTGTATTCCGACTTTTCTATTTTTTCTATCCTCTCTTCCCTCTGCTCCTTCCTTTCCCAGTCCTCAACTTCTGCCCATCTGAACTCCCCTTTTTCTCTTCTTTCCTCTATCTCCCTTATTTCCA